TGTTAGACAGTTTGTTTACTTCACACTTTTTTATTGTTATGCACTCCGCATCACGTTATTATTATTCAACTAATTTGTGAAAATTAACAACTTAAACAAAATTATTTTGGACAACCAGATATGAAGCAGTAGTAATGTCTGTTTTTATTTGAAAATATGAATTTAATAGAGATTTCAAGTGAAACTTGCCTTTTTGAAACATTGATTTAAAAATATAATCACTGTTATTAATGAAAATATCACAATTAGGGCAATTGTTGAGTTTTCTTTCATAATTGGATTTGTAAATATAACTTGATCATAGCAGCTTATAGAACACTTAATTAGCTATGATTGCTGCTCAATATTTAGCAAAAAAAAAATAATTTTGATTTAAAATTTATCTGTATGTTAAACAAGTACTTTAACACTTTGTGACAAATTGTGACTTCATATACAATATTTTTAATGATTTCTTAAATCGTAATTGAAAAAAAAACAACCTTAAAGCAGTCAATTATAGAAGGCTCCATTAATCACATGAGGATTAAATGGAGAGGGAGGGGGGGAGTGGATAAAAATTCACGATAATCATGTAGAGGAAGGGGGGGAGGGGTTCAGTGAGATATCACGTGTATTGTATTATTTTTTACCTGAATTTAATAATAATCCAAAATTTTTCAAAAATATTTACAAAAATTACGATTTATTCTAGATACTAGAAATACGCCTGATGTTTGGTGTGGGAGAAAGGGTTAATTTGAAGTATCACCAAAGGGCAGGGAGAAGTCCAAAAATCCTTCAAAAGCGATCACGTGATTAATGGACACCCCCTCAGCATAGAAGGTAGCCAAGCTAGAGTTTATACCGTAACTTATACCCACATTTCGTTCTTTTTTCTTTTACCTTGGCCACCAATGATCTATCATATATATGCCCAACGATGATTACATATTTACAATACGAACAAGTTCTTTTTTAATAGTCTCCATTATTATCCACGCCGAGTTGCACTGTTCGTTCTTTAGTTAGTTAAGCGTTAACGAAAGGCACGGTTGCTCGCCTTATGTATCTGGAGCAATTTCTTAAAAGCTCTTACGTGCACGTCTCCCATTAAAGTAAATTAATTAAAATCATAATTTTTGCAACAAGTTAATTAAACTGCATATACAGATTTTAAATTTAATGGACTTTATGCTTGTTAGTTGAAAACTTGTAAAATCATGGTAATAGATTAATAAATTCTTATAAGGTGTCTTATAATTCTTGTAATTTTTATACATCAAATAAGAAGTCATCAGATTCATAGAATAATCTTAGAGGTTCTTGACAGTAGAAATTATTAAATATCTTTTTTTTTTAATTTTTCTATTTGAGTTACTAGAACTTATGTTGTGTGTTCGTTGATCTGATTTTGATCATCAAAATTCACTGCACATCTTATATGGTATGCAGAATTGACTTTTCAAATGTAAAACAGCATTTTCTTTTTACCTTTTCAAGAAGTATCACAACATACCACAGACATATACATAACTTGGACTAGTTGTAAATTTTAAACAACATGTTTATTTAGCACAATAG